ACGGGAGAACGCAACTGGACTCTGGAGAAGTATCGTTCCATATATTTGCACAGATTAATCTTGGCCGTTCCCTGGGCCTCGTGCCTGTCAGATTTGCAAGGAACACTTACTTAGCCTTCCTTTTTGGAGGCATTCGAAACGCATGCTCCAAACCATCGCAGCAGTGACTTCTCCATCTGGAGAAGCAGAGGCTATACACCAAGGCTCTTCTGGATGTCCGTATTCCGGACCATGTCGCGACGACCATAAGGCCTGCGACTCGTTTAGGAAAGCCCAATTCAGCGGTTTATACCGGGGTTCAAAGCTTTTCAGTCCTGGTCAACGATTCATGACCGTAGGTAAGTATGGGGATAAAGATCGATTCGAAAACACCGAGACCTTAGTTTTCTGACTGAGTTCCGCTTTAGTATCAACAGTTCGGGCTACGTTTCGCACAACGCTACTCCAATTCGCTGGTCGATCTATTCCACAAAATTTCCATCATTAGAAAATACGACTCTGAGCAAATTGAACCTCTCCACCTGCTCCACTGCCTCTCTGTTAATCTGAAGAGAGCAACGGGCAACAGAATGAAAAAGCTTTTCGTTTTCCATGCGTTCACATGCCGTTGCCGGTTCAAAAATGAGGAGGGTTGGAGATCGCCTCGAAGTCTCAGTAAAATTCGCCATCTGCCACTCATGGTATTGACGCCATCGAAAATTATACCGGCTCAATCATCGCCCGAGTTACCAAGGGCCGCGCAGGCTGTTGGGGGACTGAGACAGACTGCGAAAAGTCGGCGACCAGAACCTGTTTATTGCCCTCTGCCAGCCGGGGGCGTGGCAGCACAACGACGGCTGACGAAGACCGACGCAACGACAATGAAGATACCAGTCAGCAACGGAGCCCCTACTCGTTCTGAACGGAGGAGGCAGACAGCGCAATGTCATTATAGCATGTCAGAAAAGGCTCCACGAGAACGACACCGCCAGTGGGAGCTCACGGTCGGAAAATAAAATATATTCTCACTCAGAGCGAAAGAACAACAGTTAGAGATGGGGCCATAAAGTACCAACTCGACATTGTTAGACTATCGTCAACGAGGGGCCAAGGCTCTCGAATCCTGAACTTTAGCGGGTGGAAGCTATTGAATCAGGTGTCGATATCACGACGCGCGAAGGTTGATGTTGGTGTTCTGGTAGAACCCAACCTCGCAGATAGAATCACTGACTGGAAGCCTGTCAGCAGAAGAGTGGTAATCCTCCGACTGAAGCTACAACACGTTAAAACGTTAACCTTGGCACAGGGCTATACGCCCAATTTGGAGGGAGAATATGATTCCTTCCTTGAGGAAGTGCAGTGTGTTCTGTCCGAAGTGCCGAATACACAGTCCCTCATATTGATGGGCGATTTTAATGCGCATGTTGGCGTAGACGCTGAAAAGTGGCACGGCGTAATTGGAAAAAACGACCCTAGCGACCTCAACAATAACGGCATAAAATTGTTTCCGTTTTATGCAAACAACGGACTGTCCGTTAAGAACACCTTCGAGCATCGAAGAGTGCACCAGAATACCTGGTACAAGGAAACTTGTGCACAGAAGGCAGTGATCGATTTGATAATCGTATCGTCTGACTTAAGACGCTCGGCAATGGATGTTCGTGTTAAGAGAGGCGCAGAGGTATCAAAGGGTCATCACCTTGTTGTAGGTACGCTGCGTTGTAAGAAGTGGAGTACTATATAAAGATCTGATGGCAGAAACAACCGGAGAATCAAATGGGAAACATTATCTTCGATGGACACGAAAGCGAAATTTGTAAATAACATCGCACGACCGTTTGAATAGATCCCGGTGATGACCACTGATGTGTAAACCCAGTGGTAGCTATTGAAGAGCGGCATCCTCAAAGCTGCCTCCGAATGCTGCGGATTTAAACGGGTTGGCCTGCTGCCTGGAGGTCAGAAAAGATCTTCATGGTGAACACGAGAGGTACAACTGGCAGTTAAATAGAAGAAAGCAGCGTTCAAGGAATGGCTTGGAAACAAAGAGCCTTCTAGTCGCGTGCGATATGTCGAGGCACGCAAGGCGGCAGCCACAGCAGTGGCAAAAGACAAGGCTGATTCGTGGGAGAAGTTCGGTGAGGTGTTGGAGTCGAATTTCCACACGGCAAACAAAGTATTCTGGCAGACCATCCCCGCTTCCGAAGTGAAAAGACGGGCAGTCTCATAGTGTTGAAGGACAGATCTGGACACCCTCTTACCAAGGTTGATGATATTCTTCGGCGATGGAGGGAGTACTTTGAGGAACTCCTTAACCCCGCGCAACAGCAGGAAGACTCACCTATAGAGCAGAAGGGTACGGATATTACTATCTCTGTAGATAAAATTACACAAGCTGTGAAAAACTTGAGAAGTGGAAAAGCTGCTGGAATTGATGAAATCCGCCCTGAGATGCTCAAGGCATTAGGCGAACAAGGCATGTGCTGGCTAACACGTATATGTCAAACAGCGATGACTGCGGAGAAGACAGCAGCGGACTGGAGAACGGGAGTTGTTGCACCCGTGTTCAAGAAGGGAGACTGCAGGGAGTCCTGCAATTATAGGAACATCACGTTATTGATCTTCCCAGGTGGTCTACACAAAGGTGCTAGAAAGTAGATGCCACGGAATAACTGACTCCAAGATACAAGAAGAGCAGTGTGGCTTCCGGCCCGGTCGAAGCCCCTCTGACCATATATTTGCCCTGCGCCAGATTGTTGAGAAATCGTGGGAGTACGCCCAGCCGGTGTACATGTGTTTTGTTGACCTAGAAAATGCCTATGACCGGATTCCACGTACCAGTCTGTGGTCATTCCTGCGAACAAGCAGGGTAGATGGTCAGCGGCTACCGGTCATTCAGTCACTGTATTTTTTCTGCTGCTCTGATGGCGATGAGGAGGTGCTGATCGCCGACATTTCACAGCCTGCCTCTGTCCCGCCAACAGTCTTCACGGATCTTGGTAACCCGTCGACGACGGAGCCGATAAAATTTTCGATGAAGTGAATACCATCAAGGACAGGTGGCGAAATTTTACGGAGATACCGGCACGGTTTCCCGCGCTCCTCGTTTCTTAGCCGCGCTTGGATCCGGCAACGGCGGAGTTAGAAATGTTTTTTTCTTTTCGATACTGGATTCTTCAAACAAACGAACTGCACCGATGGGCAAACCAATTTCCGCAGTTAACAAAGCTTTTATGTAACATTTCGAAAATGTGGTTCGGAACAGGAACCCTTACTTGTTTCCAAGGATTTCTGAAAGATATGTTGACGTTGTATATTTCATCTATGCTAATGGAAATGAAAATGAATGCTTAATCTTCTCAAGAGGCTCTTCACGATATTGATTAAACTATTGAAAAATAAATATATTTTCATATACGTTTTAATGATATGTTAATAATTATCTGTGGTAATTGCGATAAAACTGCGGCTTATCACAATCAAAATAATGCTGATAGACGTCTAAAGGTACACTCATAGTTAATTAACAAAAGATCCGTAATTACAGATCTAATACTTATAGCTCTGA